GATCCTTGCTCCAAACTACATGTTTTGCTTGCTAACCAATGTTTTAACACTGCTCCCAGCCTTCTTTTCCATACCTAGCCAAGTACTAAGCAAGAGTTTGATAGGTAAGGCCAACAATATACAACCACTGAAGATACTATTACCCAAATTCCTACAGGGATGCAAGTTTTGATAAAAAGCAGTGAGCTTGGTACCTGAAGTGGATAGAGAAAAGGGGACTCCACTGGTCAATGAATTGACTACAAAGTAAATGCACAGACATCAACACAATGAGTGTCTCCTTCACACTATGGAGGTACCCATCTTTTCTTTAAAAAAAATGCTCCAGGCCTCTGACTCTGTGCCAGGGCATATATTTACTGATGTGAATGGATCTCCTTGTTAACAAGATGGGGCAGTTGCACGATCTCAGCTGTGTCAGCAGAATCGCTGCCTTCTAAACTCCAAGAGGGCATTGACCACTTTCTTCATTGCTCACCTGGCCTGTTTCTCTTTTAAAACTCAGAGAAGTTCCATCTTCCTGAAAGCCCTCCCATGGGCAAGGTTGATGCACTGCCTTCACCATGCTCCCCGTGTGCTTATTCCTACTTAGAGCACAGCACTTGGCTCTCTGTAGTTGCAGACCTGTCTTTGGTTTGTCCCACCAGACTGTACACTCCCCAAGGGTAGCAAAAATAAATGCATCATTTAGTTTAACCACAGTGCCTACTTTCCTAGCTGGTAAGCTTTTTTAAATATAAATGAATAAACCTTGTAATTTATATAATAGATAAAATAAAAAATAGCTTGTAAGGATTTATTTAGCTATAAGATAACTAAAGAAAGTTCTGGAAAATTTAAGCATATATTAATATAACCTGTTTTTTTTTATTTTTGGGTTTGTTTTTTTTTTTTGTATAAGGAATCAAACTCAGGTCCTTGTACTTGCAAGGCAGGCAGCAGAACCACTGAACTAAATCCCCAGCAGTATAACACATTTTTAAAGCTTAGATCTGCTTTTTCTGAATTAAAAAAGTAGTTGTAATACTTTTCTTGACATTCCAGGCCCATAGTATTTGCATGATAAACTTGCAGTGAAGGAATTTTATAGTTTAGACTTTTGAGCTATAATTAAAAATGCTGCAGAAAATGGTGACTTCTGAAATAGCTACCAAGTCATCAGGAAAGTAGGTGGTTGAGGGGAACTATTGGTTGGAAGCCAAGCAAACCTGCCTGTGTGGATGCCTTTCCCTTGAGATGATGGCTACTGGAAACCAGAGAAAGACCTTTCAACAAGATTAAAGAGATGCTATTAATTGCTATCGATCATGGGTCAACAAATTAAATTGCATCTGCAAGTGCGTCTCTGAAAGGTCTAAATGAGAAATGCAGTTCATGGGTCTGGCTGATCCAATGTTGTGATTAATTAAAAAGAAAATGAAACAACTCCCAGCACAAAGGCCATCTACATGCAAATAATATATAAATATAGTATGTAATATATAGTATATAATACTTAATATGTAGTAATAGTATGTGTAATAGGATAAAATTTAATGTGCAATGTATGATATAGAATACCATATAATATATAATATGGGATAAAGTTAAGCATCCTAGAAGTCTCAAATTGGAAGTTTTTCCCAATTTGCTATTTCACCCTATTTATGGTGATGGCCACAGCAGACAAAATCCTGTTGAATAATAGTAAAGCTAACATCTTGTATTCTAAAGGGGCAAGAATGAGAGGGGTGTTGGGAACTTATAAGCAATTCCTATTATAGCATACAGATAAATTCTGGTATGAGATTAATAATTTCTACCAATTAGTAAAAATAATCCAGTTATTCTTGCCCCTTTCAACTGATTTATATCTCAAGAATATGATGAAAAGCTAAACATATGACCAGTGGGAGCTTTCGCTATTCAAGGTGCATTTATTCAAAACCAAGGTGAGAATATCACTGGCAAATAGAAACTGAGTAGGCTGCCGTGGAGGCAAGTATATGTGAAGATCACCCTAAATATCTGATATATTGTTAGCATATTCAGCACAATGTGCTGAAGTAAGGTCATGTGGCACCTGAAATAAAACATAGCTTTCACGTCATTGACTGTTGTTACTGACATCAATGTCCTTCTAATCTCTTGAGCTAGCTATGTGAATGTTTTGATCCTTGAATCTCCATTTGATCCTCTGTGCAGTCTTGTTGTCCCAGCTGCACTGTTTGAGTTTCACCCAATATGAGAAAAGATCCTCTTTATTTTTTTTTTTCCGGGTTGTTGTAATTGTCTCCCATTAGTGTCTCCACCTCTCTCCAGATTCCATTTCATCCTTCCCTCTGCTGTCAGAATGATTTTTGAGACATAAATATGATACCTTATTACTTGATGCCAATTAATTCACAGTATTGGGAAAAACCAAAACCAATTTTCTTAGCAAGATTTTCTAGGTCTTAACAATTGGGTTTTCTTCACAGACACATCTCTCCCTATGTACCTTCATCTCTAGCCTCACAATGATATCAGACCTGATGTTTATCACATGCAAAATACACTATTCAGTTTTTTTGTCCTGCAATATCAGTCCATGAATACCTGCCCAACTTATACCTAAGCCACAAAATCCAAATCCTTCTCAGATTACCCATATCTGTTGTATTTACAGCCGTCCCAGTAGTGACAGGTAATGTGTTATAGGGTCTTCTTATGTGCGAGCCCTATCCTAACATATTTTATGAGTATTATTCTGTTTAATATTACCAACCCTCTGATAAAAAGACTGGTTCTGAGTGTGCCCGAGAAAAGCCCCAAAGCCTCTTTGGCCCTCAGTGTTCCAGTCAGAAAAATGGAAAAACCAGTCCATAATTTCATGGTTTATGATATTGGTTGAACTAATGAATGAATGTCATCATCTCATGGAGAAGGATCACTGCAGTGTCTGACAGAAGAAATTCGAGAAATAGTAGTCAAACTTTATATCCAAATTCCTCCCCTACCATACCCACTTCATGTATCTATTTGTTTTGAAAAATTTAAAGCTCAAACTTAATTATAAAATCATGGCTTTTTGAAAGTACTCTTCACAAAAGCTAGTTTGTACATATGAGTATGGAGGTGTTTTAAAGCAGAGTTTGGGATTAAAAAAAGCTATGAGTTGAACATTCTCAAAAGTTAAAAAGAAAGCCATCATGCCATTATTGCAATTGAAAATATTTAGAACATAAAAGAAAATTTGAGTCTTTAAAATTAAATGAAAGAAATGCAGATTGATATATTTAGCTTTTATTTTGTGAAAGGCACCGCCTGCATCTTGTTCATGGAAAGAACAATATGGTGTTCAGGTGTGTAACGTGGAGCGGAGAGAATCTGGTGTTTATACAGGCAGGACAGTGTGAAGCTCACTGAGAAGAGTTTTACTGCAATTTCAGGTATAAATACCCTTTGATCATAGAAACATGTGAGTCTGTTGACTCAGAGCTACCATCTTGTCTTTCAAAGTCATGAAAATATACTTCTTTAAATAAATAATATTCCCAGCGTAACACCTTTGAGGACAATGAATCGGGACTCTGTCTTTGTCTGTAGCTTTCTCTCTAGCGATTTGAGGTGCCTTTTGCTTGGGTTTGAATCAAACTGTAAACAGTCCTTTACAACAGACAGAGAGTCAAGAAGTAGGTGCAGGGGAAATTGAAACACAAGAAAGTCTAATCTTATTTTAAGAAGATGTTGGTGGAAAAGTGTGAATCTTCGTCTTTGGGGACACAGGGTTGATGTTTTCTTTGTGCTTGGTTTTATTGTTTATTCCTCTAACAACTCAGAAAATGATGGCAATTTATAAAATATTGTTCAGTTTTGCTATGCACAGGCAGTCTGTCTAAAGGAGAGAGAAAGCAGTGTGGTCTTCTCCCTGAGGAAAGCTTACCCACAGAGAAAGCATTCTCCCTTGAGCATTGGCCACCAACCATGACTCTTGCTCTAGGGCTTTTTCTTTACCCTTAGAAGTCAATTGGTGCTAAGCATCAGGTTCTAGGAGGCAGTTTAACATGAAGTGTTAAAAAAATAATATTTCTAAGACAAACCCTCGAATAATAATAACAAACCCTGGATTCTGTTAAGAGTGTGTAACTGTGGTTGGCAGAGCTCAAAATCTTTGAATTTAGGAGGCACAACAGCCAGATAAATTGTTATGGATGGTTTAGATCATGTAAAATCCTTTCTCTTTTTATCAAATTTAAGACATTTGAATATGGATTAGTTATTAGATGATATTAAGGAATTATTAATTTCATTAGGTTTGGTGGTATATAACAGTATGGTTTTGTACAAAAATATCACTTTAAAAAAAAGATGGTTACTACCAGTTGCAGGGATAAAATAATATGATACTTGATATTTGTTTTAAAGAAAAGGGAAGGAAAGAATAAATGAAGTATTATGCGAGATGTTGATGACTATTGAATCTGAGCAATGGGTAAATGGAGGATTCTTACACCGTTTTCTTGCTTTTTATGCATTAAAACTTTTATAAGAAATTCCTGCTTTGCCACTCCATAACCCATGCACTTGAACAGAGCACTTAACCTCTCCATGTTGTGATTTTCTCCAGAGCAAAGTAGAGCCAATATGAGTTCCTCTCTCGTAGGACGCAGTGTGGATTGAACATGATTCTATGGGTTCAGAGCTTAGTCCAACTGCTGACGAGGGAGAACACTCAATAATTATAGGTTTTCATTAGTACTGAGTATGTACATGGTGTCAGGAAAGATTTTTTCCTGTAATTCTCACTTTTGTTGCTTGTTTATTTGAGTTCTTCTCTAATCCCTGAGTCAGCCTTGCCTGAGAAAATGAAAATATGCACAAATCCTAAAACTAGTGCTTAATTCTCATTGGGTAAAGCTGCAATGATACCTGTAATTTCAGATGACAGAAGACACCAAAAGTTAGTCTCTCCATAATAAGGGTGGGAAGAAGAGAAATTTTGGGAAGAAAAATATGCCACAAACAATGTTCTCCGGTTAACACACTTTATATTTAACAAAATAATTTTTTAATAATATATTCTTTTACACATCAAATATTGTTGCTAGAGTCCCCTTTTTACAGTTTAGTGTTTAGGTTTTTTTTCTCACTAGTTTTCAGGCACACCATTTTTCAAAGATTTAAACTGAATCATTTTTTAATAGGCATCAGCTGACAAACAGGATGTTGATCCCTTATTTAAACATAGCTGTAGTTAAAGTGGAGAACCAAAGGCAGAGAAGAAATGAAAATACAGGGGTGACAGGATGGCTGCAAACAAAGCCTTCAAAGGAAAATATAGCAGATGAGACCAGAACTCTGTTGTTCATAGTTTGGAAAGAATTTCTCAATGACCTGGGTAGAAGGAAGTTGTAAAATGTTTATTGGTTTATGAGAAATTCTGTCACAGTATAGGTTCATCTCTCCCTAAAGGGGGAAAAATGTCAGTGCTACAAAGTCTTAAAGGAAACACTTGTAGTAAAAATAAAAAACAAAACAAAAAATCCCAAACCTAAGAAGAACAACAATAAAACTCCCTCTCTCTAGCTGGTAACAGAGGCCACTGAGCAGTTACTTCCTGTAAACTCTCTGAAGAGTGTGTCTTGATGGATGTTATTCTCCATTCCAGTAAATTCTTGCTGTAACTACCACTGTGCAAAGACTTTGATGCAAGATTTCTGTACCTCTTGCCAGTTGCACTTTCTTTTTGTTTTCTAGAAAGGACACAGTAACTCCTGAATAATAGATAAGGTACTATGCTACATGGCTCTATTAATGATATTTTCTGAGTTTCAAACCTTATTCCTGTCATTAATTATTATTATTATTATTTCTTTCCAAGAGTGTGGATTTTTGAAGCTGGTAACAGGCAACCTCAGGGCAAAGAAAGTTCTATAATACGTCTCTGTCTAGACACAAGCTGAAGTGTGGAATGCCTTTACTTTTGAGTGCAGGCATAAATCATGCAGAACTGTTCATGAATGATTCATGACTGTCTATATGATGTATCCATGGTGGCAACCGAAAGGCACCAACCTTGCAGCGAATTGGTGTTCTAAGGGAAGGCGGCAGGATGTTCTTCCTCACGGTGGCACCGGCATGGCTATTTGTATCATAACAAGCACAGTGTGCAAAAAAGTGTCAACACATTAATTTTGGAAATGACAACTCTTTCTTGATGGCAGGAGACATTTCTGGGGAGGAGAGGTTGATAATTTTAAGTGAAAAACCAGTTCTTGAGACTAGAAACTGGAGTTCTGAGGATGGACCTATAGTGTTAGAAGCATCCCTCCCTATGGGGGAGATTGACTTTCAGGGCTGCTGTTTGTGTGTGGCCTGAAGGACTCCAGGGTTTATCAAAGCCACATATGAAGGCAGAGTTTGCCCAGTATGTCACCCTGGTGGAAAGTACTCTGTGACTATTCTAGATCAGTGCTTCTCAACCAGGTGAAGTTTTGTGCCTAGTCCTATCCTTTGAGGACATTTGGCACTATCTGGAGACATTTGGTTGCCATAATGGGAATTGCTAGTGGTACCTCGTGGGTAGAAGCTAGGATCCTGCTGCACATCCTAAAAATGTGTAAGATTTCCCCCTCCCCAACAAATGGATGATCTGGTGCCAAATGTCAATCTCACTAAGGGTGACACACCATGCTTTAAGAACACAGAACTCCACAGGAGCCCTGGCAAAGACCAGGTTGGGGTGAGACCAGAAAGAGAAAGAACACTGATAATGAAGACAACCTTAAAGTATCCTCAAGGACCCTGTTGGATCTGCACCAGGGTTTTTAGGACAGGGAGAGTGAAATAAGCGACTAACTAGGCCATGTGGTCTCAGAATTGTGAATTTTACACTTGAATCGAGGTGGCATCAGATACCCTGTGTATTTTTTTTTCTGTTACTATACTAGCAGCATTACCAGGGCAACCTTGAGACTCTTCAAAGGTTCACTTTAGTAGTTTAGTATCTAATATATACATTTAGAAAATGTTCAACAAATGGAACTGTATTGTGCAAGATTCACTCTACCCTAATCTTTAGTTGAAATCAGCACTTGAGGTGGAAAGAGTGTCCTGAATCTGGATTTTAGACTTAGGGCTGAGTGATTGTTACTGTAACATGGCAAACATAGTCCCGAACCATAAAAACCGCTCTATGTACTACTGGCTTTCAGTCAAATTGGAACTTGAAAGTCAGAAGTGTTGAAAAGTATTCAAATTCACAGTGGGGCTACTCACCCTGGTTCTGGTATTTATATTGCCTGGTGACAGAGTGGACTTACAGTGTGTTTAGTTATAAACCAAACACAAGTTCAGCATCATGAAAAGTAGTGGTGTTGAATGCTACTATTTCAAATACTGGTCTCTCTCTAGATTCTGTAGTCAAGCTCATGGTTTTCTTCACCTAGTCAATTTGATTGGCAGTTTCAAGGTTTTGTGTGGGAAATGTGTGGCTTGTAAGAATCAAATCAAGAACCCCCATGCAATGGACAAAGTATTGTTTCTGATCCAGCCCAGCAGAGGGTCTATCTATGTGTTTGCCCCTCTTTTCTTAGCTTACAGAGAATAATTCATTTCAGGGGAGCGATTGGCTGGATGCTCTTGTGTTTTCCTGCTGAGGAAAGATCCTTCCCACTGATGTTTCTTTACCCAACCCTTTTTTAAACACAACTCAGAATTTACTGTGCAGTCAAATCTGGCCATTTAGGCTCCAAAGGTGAAAAGAAAAATACTTCAAGAGAAGAATGCCAGGTGGGATGTACAGAAGAGGCAAATGGAATAATTTGGAGGATGGCAGGCTGGTAGGTGAGAGGCATCACCAGGAAAGGAGCCCGTGCAAGGCTATTTCTTTCTTTTGTTCCAGAAATCCAGTCATCAAGTCACCATCAAGAATTGGTAATTACAAAAGTGGTGTAGATAGATATATACTATATGTATTTTATATAGCAAGAGAAAAGGAGAGAAATTTTCTCTTAGTAAAATATTCACTTTTGTCAACCCTAAAAGGTTTTTGCTGGTGACCCTGTTGTAGCTGGCAGGAGTTTGTTTTTTGTTTTGTTTTGTGTTAAACATGTGCAGTGTAGAAGCCTCTCCTAAGAACTTGTCATTGGTTGGGAATTTGTCCTACACAGTCTGCTTGCCTTGGCATTCACGCTTTGAACACTGAGCGGGCTTCCACCAGTCCCCGTTGTGACAGTGACAGATGTTACATTCGTCCACTTTCACTTCAATGCCAGCCGGAATTATTGTAGTTCCTGCAAAGCAGTTTGGACCTGGAACACACACATGCATTGATTAGTGGATTAAATCTAGGAAGCTCCCTGTTCTCCCTCCCATGTCCCTCCCCCAAAGAATAATCCCACCCATAAGCCATGAGTGAATAGGTCAGCTATGCTCATCATCAAGGATCTTTCTAGCCAGCCCCATTAAATTCAAACTCTCAACCCTACTACCCTTTGCACACACCTCATGTTTCTCATGTATATTACATATATATATATATATTTCAAAAGGTGACAATGTTAAAGAATCTCATTGACTGCTTACTTAATATGTGCAATTTTCTAAATGAAAGTTCTAAAGATTAAATTGTATTTGTTTTGTTGTCCGAGGTGGAAAGGCTGCCAGAATGTACCCTGAAATATGAGTGGATGATTGGCAAGCTCTGAATCTTGTAGTGGTCCCCATGGCTGGTCCTCTCCCTTGCAGGGTTGGTGAGAGAAAACAAACTCATTCATTCCCCAGATCCAGCACCTCTGAGCCCAGTTCCTGGAATCACCAGCTTGTTTCTTGATAACAATGAATAATTCATGCCTGGATGATTTATTCATGTCCCCAAACAAGCTTTGTTAGAGGTTCATTTGATTTTTATAAATGGAGTACTTTTAATCTGTTGGCTTTTTTTAAAAAAAAGAATGACCCAAATGGTTGGGTTTTGAAAGTCAGCAGGAATTTTATTTTATTTTCTCACATAAAGAGAAGCTTTGCTGCAAATGTTATTTATTCATTATAGATGGACATTTAAAAAATTCACCAATCTGTTTTTACTTATCTGCCCTCCTCTCTCTCTTTCTCTCTTCCTTCCTTCTTTCTTTCTTTCTTTCTTTCTTTCTTTCTTTCTTTCTTTCTTTCTTTCTTTCTTTCTTTCCTTCTTTCTTTCTTTCCATTCTTTTTGCTTTAAACCCTCCTGATGTAGAAGGCTACTCACCCTCTTTCTGGTATTTATATTGCCTATAGCAATGTTACTATTCAATATTAGTAGATATCATTTCCCAAATTCAAATGCAATAAAAAATTACACTTCAATATTCAAAGGAATAATAGTGTGGTGGTACAAATTGCTGGTTTCTAAAAATAATTTCATATTGACTCCAAAGTACATACACATTTGAGCAAAGAGAGGAAGCATTGAGTTATGTCTATTAGTGATTTATTAATCTAGTATTTCTGCCCACATGCGATAAACATTACAAAACAATATGGCAGCACCCACTTTCACTTTCTTGCCACATAAGGAGAATTTATAAGACTCTCTTTACCACCAAATAAATTAAATCAAAGGCTGTTTACAATTTCATTAGTGGAGGCTAACTTTTATTAAAAAATGATAACTATGAAGTCAAAGTATATTTATCAACACAAATCTGTTAATAACTATGGCTCTAACTGTCCCTTGTTTTAGAACTCTCAGAATTCAATTGTGAATGCATTTACCAGTGGTGTTGGTGTTCCTATGCCTTTCCCTCACTCTACAGTGTAAATATCTTGGGTCTGTGCCTGACCATGTACAACCATCAAGAGTCAGAGGGATGTACTGAGTCAAGTCTGTGGTTAAACAGCTAGTGAACTATCTGCCTTTGCCCAGATGAGTAATCTTTTTCTGATCATATGAAATGTTTTTTATTATGCTAATTGCTAGTTATTTAAGGATTACAACATTAATTCCATAAGGCTGGAGATTTAAGTCATTGTTTGATAGGTTGGATCGTCTTTGTGACTATACATCTCTGGGAAAATTCAACACCAAACCAGGAATTTATTCTAACCCCAGAGCTGAGGGAGTCTTTAGAGAAGTTAACGAGAAGTCTTTTCTAGAATGTAGCTGGTTTGCCTATGCTTGTTGACAGACATCTCTCATCCAGAGAGTTTAGGCAAAGCAGAATCTTTCCAGAGTCACAGCAGCCTCAGAATGGAACTAGATACTCTCACTATCAGTGTGCTTTGTTCCTTTCTCTACCTCCTCCCCTAAACCAAACCTTTTCACTCCAATTCTATACTTTTAGCTTTCCTGGATGAGGAAAGAAAATATTTGTTTCTCTAAATAATGGTTTCAAAATGAAGAATTTCCTGAAACAGTAAGAATAAGATCCAGTAAGAGTTTTCACTGCTTCTTTTAGAGGAATTGGAAATTTGAGAGAAGAACCTCTCTCTCTCTCTCTCTCTCTCTCTCTCTCTCTGTATGTAAATATGCTGTGTGCTCATAGTGTGATTAGTTTCAATGGTATAATAATAGTAAATGGAAGGGAGAAACATGAAAAGAGATTTCAATCACTGTGTGTCTTGAAAGGATATTGTAGCAGAGCTCTGGTATTCATATTTGTTTCTTTCTACATATGATAGTATCATGCTATGATCAGTATGCATTTGCTTAACCTCTATCATTTTTTAAAAGTCATTTGGAATTTGTTGCACTTTCAGCCCAGGAAATATTAATTATATTGATGGATAGAACACAAAGAAAGATCCCTTGCATGTGTCAGAACTGACTTAAGGACCTGCTTGTAAATAACATAGCAAGCTCTCAACTTTTAACATCAAGACCAGAGGTATTTTACAGAACCAAAAATTCTTGTTTGATCTTATTAACTTCAGTGTTAAAGTTATTTTATTGATGCCCTTCTGAGAATCTCAGGTGTAACTACAGCAAGTCTCAAGTTTGCTGTTAATAGTCTTATCTACTTAAATGTAATTTAGATAATTGTCAAGTGGAATGGTTGGCACTATTTAAAAACTGTTCTGATTTTAGCACTTCCTGCTTAATAGTGGTGACAGTAAATGCTAATTTGCTTTGAGATGTGAGTGTTCCACAAGAGTTCTTACACAGGAAACCTATCCTTCTAGTACCATCTCTCTTTTTATCTTGGGGCTGCTCTCCTTTTTGTCTTGGCCTATGAATGGGGTGAGTTGCTTAAAAGAGAGAATTCAATGGCAAAGCAACATATTTTAATGTGGGAGACTTTGATTAACTTCAGAAGGGAACAATAAAAATTATTAAACTGAAGTTAGGCAATAGGACCTCTGAGAAAATGGTAAAGGGATTGGAATTATTTAATCTAGAAAGAGAAGATAGAGCAGTAACTCAATAACTCTCAGAGAATGAAGGCTTTTTATATGAAGAACGGTGACCAACCATTCATGATTTCTTCTGGGGCAGAGAATAAAAGGACATGAAGATACATTGATTTTCAGTGTATTGAAACACACACACACACACACACACACACACACACACACACACACTGCTCAGAGAACTGAGAATCAGATATGAAAGTTGCTGACAATGTGGTGAGATATCTCTCTCTCAGAGATTTTAAGAATTTTGTACGAATCTGGGCATGTAGTAGCTCAAGGGCACTGAATGTACTTAGCATGCATGAGGTCCTGGATTCAATCTCCAGCACCACAAACAAAACTACAACAAAATGATCTATGATGTCTTATCTGGAAGGTGCAATTTACACAATTAATTTCTTGAGGGCAGAACTGAATATCTGATATTTCTTAGGGTCCAGGGCTAATACTATATGTGGGAAATTCTAAGAACTCAGTATGTGTTTGTTTACCTGAACAAAGTAGAAAGAACTAATTTGTTATACACTGGAAACAAACTTCTTTCCTGCACCTGTATATTAGGCCTCATTTATTAAGCTTAGTCCTAATAATCTATAAGAGGTGATCTAAAAAGAAGGAAATTTTTAAATTAAAAAAGACCCTATGACAGTAAGAGGCATATTACCAAGAATGATGGCATAAATGTGTTCAAAGTGAGGGGAATCGTTTTGAAGGGGATGATTGGCAGTGTATCTCTTACTAAAATAAATATTTTTATTTAAACATTCTCTGTATTTTGTGATCACTCCACATTTGATTAAACATTATTGCCATTCCTATCAAATAAAGCATTTTTGTGTGTCCTCATCTCTTATTCTTTGGATCTGGTACCATGTGACTTCTGGCTCTTCCCTGAAGTCAAAATGACCATGATAGGTAAATAATTTGAATTAATTCAGGACATCAAGACAGCCATGACAGGGCAACTAAAGACACTTATGAAAGAGACTTCTAGAATTGTTTCAGAAAGTAGCAAGAATGATGAATAAGGGTTTTTGAAGTGAGGTGGGGAATTTTGAGGGGGGTTAAAGGCAAAGTGTCTTTTGTTATAATAAATTTTAAAAATGTAAATATTCACTGTGTAGTTTGATGGTACCTTGTAAATATAGCAATATTTCATAATGAATCAAAAAATGTAGGGAAAATATCTTGAGCAATTACTTCGTGCCAGGAATATGTTGACAACAAACCATAGAAAGTGTGTATTCTTTCCTTCAGGACACTGAGACTCACAGATAGAAAATAACTTGCCTGAAATCACATCACATATAGTGGACATGTCACAGCATTAATAGGATATGAATTCAAATTTCTGTGACCTATAGTGGGGCTTCTCGCTGACTAAGAAAAGAGGTAGCATTCTAGAAGTTATTGCTTGGCTTCTTTTTGAGATCCTGAGCTTCTGATCAGATATTTAGAAGTTTAGTTAGTTTTAGTACTGAAGATGCATGCTGAGGTTAAGGGATGTATATGGCACAAAAGAAGTGAGACTGCTTTTTTCTAGCTCTTTATATAGATATTAGTTTATATTATATGTTCACGTAGTCTTCAGGAAGCACAATTTATTTAAAAACTAAATGAAACTTCTCACACAGAAGATTTTCAGGCATTCAGGCTTCCCACGTGGCAACAGAGAAGTTCTCAGGGTATGGGACATAAACAACCTAAAAGCATAACGCAAGTGGCCTGTGGCTTGGGAGACCTGGTTCAAAATTTGGTTGTGTGACTGATTATATATGTGACTTTATACCAATACTTTGGGGTCCCTGTGTGATTTGCTCTAGGATAATATTCTTAGTTTTGAAAAATGAAAATTTTAAACACTGAGAGTTGGAACTAGGGGGAAAGAGGGAAAACGGAGCATGGAAAATATTTCCTAATG